CTATACTTATTCTCCGCCTACATTACCCGTGCTAACCCTAGCGACCTGTGATGGACCCATGACCTGCGTTGTGTTTAGGTCATGCACCTTGGTAGCTTTCATGATGATGGGTTTGGAAGACTGCAAGTTACAAGGGAGGTCTGAATATCAAATGCACCGTAAAATGGCAAGACAGAACAGTAATCAAATCAGAACTACATGGTATCACAAGCCCTGCAACCTGGTATCATCAAAAAGATTCCAAACGCCAACGTAAGCTGATTGAACGTGACAACAACGACCCTAGATGCTCTGCTCCATCTCCGTGATATAAAGCTTGATGTGGCTCTCCATCTTGAGGTACTCATCATGGGCAGCGTGCACCTCGTTCTCAATGTTGTCCTTGAGTTCAGCCATCTTCTTTTCCGTCTGCTCGATGCGTACTCGCCTCCTCTCCATTTCACGCCCTTTCTCCCCTCGCTCCTCGGTCAGCTTCGCGTGCGTCTCTCGTAGCTCCTCCATCCGCTTACGCGCACGTTCCGCCTCCTCGTCGCCCTTGGTCTTGAGTTTGCCGGTTCGTGCGTTGATGTTGCCTAGCTGCTTCTGGAGGAGACGCTCTTGTCGTTCGACATCCCGGACGTTGTTGCTTCGATCTGCCAATGCGTCTCGGTGTCTTGATGCCTTTGCCAACTCCTCCTCCTCGCGTGATAGATCGGCTTGTACATCTGTGAGTAGTCGTGTACACGAAGTAACATCAGTCGCAACTACAGCGAAGGAGTCAGTAGACGTTTGAAGGGCTCGAGCACGACGGTCTAGCATGTCGATCTGGGTCTTGTCTCCAGTGAGGCGGTCGCTTAGGTCTCGCAGTGATTCTTCCAGCGCTGTCGGGCTCTGTTGTGTGTAAGGCTTCAGTTTTACAACCTCGCGCTGCACATTCTCCTTGTTCTCGACCCTCTGCTGCAAGAGCTTCTTCAGCCTATCTTGCTCGGCTTTAGCACGCTCGAGTTTCTCTGCAACCGCCTCTTGACCCCTCTTCAGCTCCAGCAGCCTGCTCTTGAGCTCGTTGTTGCGCTTTTCCTTCTCTTGCATGAGCCTTTGTGTCGCCGCACGGTTGCGCTCAAGCTCGGCCAATTGCATTTCCTTTGCCTGCTTGTCATCATATAGTTGTTCGATTCGTAGTTTCGTGCGCTCCGCCTTGTTAAAGTGCTCATCTATGATCTCGGTTTGTGACTCCCGGAAGCGGATGAAATTAATCATGTAAGAGAAGATCTTGACTAGGCGACCGTGGGTAGGCTTGTAAAGGTCGTTGAAAGTGAAGTCGTGAATGCCGCACTGAGCTCGTTAGTACTGGCAGGAAGGCCCGAATTCAGAGGCACTCACTTCGCGAAGAAGTTTCCTCAGGATGACAAAAAAAGCCATCAGGTCCCTTGTGTCGCTTGTATAGAGCCTCTCCGCGTCGCCACCACACATGTCTTCGGCGGCAGCGCGCATGGCCGGCGCAACAACTTCGCGTGTTGTGTTCATGAGTAGCTCGGCGAGCCATTCGAAGACCTTCTGGATGATTTGGGGATTCGGCTTCTGTAGATCTGAGACGGAAAACTGAATTCCGATGTCCGAGATGCAGCCTGCAATTTCATGATCGGGCTATATCCGTCAGTAATGTGCAACTTTGAGCGAAATCTGCGCCCATACCAGAGTCATAAATGCGTCGTGTTCGTTGACGGGCGGCGCACGTTGGTTGTGCTGAGTCGTTCGCGCCATACTCATGCGCCCGTTGTAAGACATATTGGATTATTGCGCAATCTCAGTCGGATGTGAGTGTCTTAGTCGTGTAGCGTAGGGCTGTTCGCTATCGTGGGGTGGTATTGTTCAGGCGGTGGGCGGTGTTTGTTTACAGGGTCCAGCAGTTTGTTGGCATAGAAGGAGCGACCTCGGGTGCCGCCCTTCCGGATACAGTATCGCGTAACAGCGCATCGATCCATAACTCCACCGACAGCTCACACATTCTCCATCAGTTTGTACAAGATAAGCAATGCCCGTAGCCGCTATACGCGTCTCCACTTCTATGGACGTACGATGCAAAACATTCGCCTTTCCTGCTTCTGAACATCTAGCCAATAGAAAACGCTGATTATCAAGCCTGATTGGTCTGATGGGAATGATGCCCACACAGCAGATAGGACCGCAAGTGAGCAGATCATGGCTCTCTAGTCTTCTTCAATATTCACCAAGTACTCATTCTTTCTTATGCAAACTGAACGAGTGCGAAAGAACTGATGCAGGACGAATATCGAAGTTTTTGCGGGCAACCCGACTCTCCATGGACAAGCGCAACACCTGTTCGTGTGTGAAACAGACCTGAGATTGTCTACATTCTCATTACTCGAGGCAATGTACGAGGTAACTGCAATACTCGAGATGTAATGAGCGACGGTCAGACATCTTACATGGCAAATATCTTGTAAAGTTTGGATTGACGAGTACACAATATAAGGTTGCCCAGGTCAGATTTAGGCTACGAGCTCGCAGTCTCATTGGAGACATAAAATCATACACAAAACTTTCCGATATGTAAAGACTCACGTATGTCGGAGTGATGGACACACACAGTTGCAATGTTTTGTGTATTGATACATCTCCACGTAAAAGCATGAGCGCAGATGTCAATACCAGAACCAAATAACCGTACTCGGGGATACTGGATTCAAAGCCGGGTTGAAGACTGTACTGATTCTGGATAAAAGATAGAGGAAACTTTCTCCAGGTAAGCAAAGGGCAAGCAAGTATCAGAATTCGTATCGAAATAAGCAGGAAATGAGGCCTCCAGGACGCAAGTCTGGCGAGATGAAGGTTGCCTCCTCAATTCATGGTGCGCGCACACCAACCACCATATGAGCTTTCTTCAGGCGATGCACTCGTACGGTTTCAAGCTTGTTACTACCGTGCTGGCATGTTTTGTTTCGCATGGTTGGTGGGGTAGCTAAATGCCCATTGTTATTTGTGCGTGGAGCCAACCTCTCGCGAGCTACGGAGCTTCCACAGCGTCCATGCAAACGAGTATTACCTGACTGTCGTAGCTGCTATGTTACGTGCAAGGTTCCGACTGTGGTGAATATGTCTACACGGCTCAGGATCGCAGAAGGTCCAACTCGATTGGCCATGTTCCATTGGGGTCAACTCCAAAGGTGGGGTGGAGTCAGATCTCGGTACCAGAGGCCTAGCTAATGCCTTTCCTGCATCTGCTAAGATCTTAATCAGATATATCGTCCAAACCTTCCTATCGTGGACGATGGATGCGATGGACCAAAAATTGATGACACCCACCCTATTTTTGAAGTCTGGTAGTGCGTTTCGTGCTCGAACCGCTTGGTTGACTTGCGAGAACGTCAAGTAGGTAAGTTTAGCCTCATTGTTAGGCGCCGATCTCTCGATAGTGTTGGATCTGGACACGTGCAAGCGTATGGTTTTAGGCTACGGCACGCTATGCGTTTCCCCAGACAAGGGAAACCTGCATGCTAGACGTAGCTGTGACGTTTTTCGGTCCCTGCAAATATGTTCCAGACGTCCACAGGTGGTGCGGAATACCAATGACACAAGAAGCGGAACCAAGTGCAGATATTGCAACAGGCTGTACGAAGATACAAACGAGGCAAGATAGGACAAAACACAGCATCGTGCACTTGAAACACGAGCTTGCCACGCCTAGGTGGTTTCACGGCCTGAGAGTCTTGGAAGGACCGTTAGTTTTCAGACGAGAACTCAAAGCATGTGACTAGCCGTTTTTCCCGCCCGACAACGGTGCAGTCCGCAACGATAAGGAATCCCCGCGGAACGAATAGGACAGGTGCATGCTGGAGACACGGGTACCTGAGTGGAGGAGCGCACGACATTGTTGTCGACGCTCTTCTGGCCGGGACAGCTGCAGGAGGATTCGAAATCCCTGGCTAGACAATTGCGCCGTTGGCCTGCAAGACCGACGTGGCTGTCCATGTCCCGCTGAATTTTGGATATTCGATACTTCCCGCAGCACGGTAGCATGCACGGTACCGTCGCGAGGTGTGTTGTCGCTGCAGAGGCCCTGGGCCTGACGAGATATGTTTTTTCCAGGTCATCGTCATTGAAGTGGCTCGTAGCCATGCGACCAGCTGAGAATGTTGGTCGAGAGATTGAGCTGTCCATGTCCTGGCCAGGCTGGGGCGCGTGATTGGCAGCTGGCTTGATGAGCGAAGCCCAGCTCCTGGGTGTGGGTGGCGTTCGGCGTTCGTGTCGAAGAGGCACTAGGCAGCTTTTAACGACAGGGCCTTTGAGCCGAGTTCATCGGCGCCGCCATGTCGAGATCGACCGGACGGCGTGGCAGAGTTTGGTTGTGGCAGACTTGTCGTGGTTCAGTGTTGGGCGGCGCAGGTCACAGACAGCGACGATGCCGTGGTACGGCATGGAGCACCGGGGCAGAAGCAAGGAGAAAGTGCTATCGTAAAAGCAGTTACAGTCGCGCGACGGACAGGGCTGGCAAATGCCCGAAACAAAAGAAAGTTATTTTGGTGTGCCTGGTGGTGGGGATCGACATCAGCGAGGGTCGAGCCCACCAAACCAAGCCCTGAAGGCACGCCTGCACTGTGCAAGCCTGTTAGGAGTACGAGCGGATCGTCCCTTACATCACACACAGGCTGTGGCAGGGCATTCACAACCGGCGTCCTCGCTCGTTCCCACCTGCCTTCACATTCACATTCCTCCCCTTCGCCGTCCCTGACCTGACCTGACCTGACATCGCATTCACACCCACCCGCTCCAACGTTCGCGCCAAGAGCTACCCGTCGCCCCATCCAGCCCGCCCATCAATATGCAGCCCAACCGACCGTGCAGCCAGACTCCCGTATTCAGATAGCACGCATTATCGCTATCACGCACACACACGCACACGTCACGCCCGCGCCGCCCAACGCGACGGCCGCGACTCAACGCTCAACTGCATTTCTTTTCGACAGTCGCCGCTGCCCTGACGCCCGCTCTCTCGCAGCTCCATGTGGCTGTTTGGGCGAAGACGCAGAAAGGCCGCTAAGTTCAAAGACGGACCCACTGAGGTTACAGACAGGAAGCGGCCTGTCGCAGAGCAAACCAACACGATTCAGACCAGCAATGGACCGCGACGAGGGCCTAGCCAGCGCCAGCGCCGCAGAAGGGGTAGTTCACGCTCCACTACCGCCTCGATGCGCGACGTTGAAAAGTCGCTTCCCGAGCCCGCCTTTGCGAAAGAGTGGCCCCCGTCGAGCGCCGAAGACATCACCGCCCTGCCCAACCAGCACCGCCTTGCTCACAGCCCGCACCTGCGCCCAATAACGCAGGAACACGCCGGCATCCCCTACAACTTCCACTCCTCGCACTCCCACCAAAGCCTGCCGCCCTCTGCAAAGGACCGTGGCAAGCTCCAGCGACCCCAGTCCATGCGCAGGGATCCGCCTACTGACTCTTCCCTGGTCCGCCGCAAGTCGAGCAAGAGGCGAAAAGAACATGATCACGTCCGCGAGGAGGAGATCCGCGCCATGTCATTCCCCATGCCTCAGAAACGTCCCGCTGCCAACTCTGGAGGCATGCTCCGCCGCGACAGCAAGAAGGTCAAGGGCGCCCTGAACCACCGTTTCGAGCGTCCCACGTCCAACGTATCGCTGCCCCTCGAAAACTCCATCCATTCATCCATGTCGGGCAATTCAGAGAACCGTGCCTTCCGCGTGAGTGCACTCGACATGTTCTCACCACGGCCAACCATCCGCGTCTCCGTCGGCTCCAACTACTACGGCAGTGACCGCATGTCACCCAACACCTACAGCGAAAAGTCCACACGTCGACCCATCAGCAGCAGTGCAGACGAGAAGGCGAGCAGGAGGACAAGCCGCATCGACGACCTCGCCGACGAACTCGATGCCGGTGCCTTACGCGATATCCTAGAACGAGACAAGAGACGGAGAGAAAAGAAGGCAAAGGCTGACCAGGAGCGGTTACGGAGAAGACTAGAACGTCGTACAGAGAAACAGAATGCCATTGAGGCAAGAGGAACGCCTGCCACCCCCCGCAAGGAGGGTACAGGCATGGTTGGTCTTGGTATCGAGCGAGAGGCGCCTGCTCCCATGGAAAACGTCCGCCCATTTACACCACCTCAGCCGCAGCGGCTGAACATGCCTGTCACGCCTCGTACCAATGACAATACCCAGCTGCCGACACCGCTGGAAAGCCCTACTGAAGAGCCTGTAGTATCTAATGCTCGGGAAATTCGTTACTCAAAAGGCAGTGCTTCCGCACACGTACATACCCGCGGCCCATCCAACGCCTCGATTCTACCCGAGCTCATCTCGGAGAAGCTCGCAAACGATATGCCTGTAGACTCTATTGAGCATGGACCCGATCCCACTCGAAGCGGCTCGCTGCATCCCATTGACACCACCGATACCTTTGTCACTTCAAAGCCGGGCTCTTCTACACGCCGGCGTAGCTCAGAGGGCAGACGTATGGGTGTATTTGCATCACTATTCCGACGAGGGAAGCGCAATTCACAAGAACAAGCACGACCCACGCCATCCGAAATCTCCTTTTCCAACACTTCGCGCGAGTCCATGTCTCGCCAACCTCTCCCAGCTCATTTGGTTGGAACGGCACCTCCTACTCAACCTATCCAAATTCGGAGACCTTCCAGCGTACCCCGACGGACAATGTCCAAATTTAGAGAGGATCTCCCAGAATTTCCTCTATCACCCCCAGATTCACGCGTGCAGTCACCAGAAGTCCCCTCAACGAGCATCATTGCTGCCCGCCGAAGAAGCCAACATCTTTCAGAACTCCAGGTTGGGTCGCTTCCCGGAGATCGATCTGATTCTCCTGTCAGTCCAGGTGCACCCATCAACGTCATGTCACAATCGCTCGCCTCAGTCGACTCCGAGGGATCTTGGCTCTCTGGCCGACCACCAAAGCGATCGTCAAACAGATCGCAGATGCGCTCCAGTCTGACGTCTTCTGCCGCGCTACGGAACGACGATTTCAATGCGTCCTACGAGGAGTTGGGCATGGCCGACGATGAATACTTCAAGAGATTGACCCCGCTGCCAGACCACAGAGGCCGATCCCCTTATGCAAGCGACGATCGGGGACGCAAGGCTAGCAGCACGCTTATGACGCTAGATGCTGCGGCTGAGTCCGACGAGGAGGTTGCGCCTCCATCCGAAGACCTGCCACCTGCTCAAGAAGGAGAATTCGTCCAGAACAGTGTCGGTCGTCAGCCTACCATTATCCACCGTCGGCCCCGCGTCAAGTCTACTGAAGGCCTCCTCAGCATGTTTCTAGACGACACGGAGGATACATCATCCAAGGTTGCCGATGTTGGGCAAGAGTCACCAGACTCAGGCTCACCAACTTCGCCAACGTCGGAGGAACCAGTGCTGGTACAGCGCGCTAAGAGCGTCGATCTCGGTAAAGGCCATGGTCACGTTCGTCACCTCAGCGCTGGTTCCGCAAGACTTCTAGATATCCAGAAGCGATCGGGTACACCAGTACACGGCCGGTCGCCCAGGATGTCTGAGCAGGAGTAAAACACCCGTTCCTAACGATTGATTTCTTCCAGGAACATGCATGCATGCCAGCCACGCCATTCATTTTGCTTTCCTTTGTATCCTGTCACTCCTTTACATTTCCTTACATGTCTCTCCCCTAACTCCAGCCAGTCATTCGAATTTCCTTACCTGTTTGTTGCTTTTTTCTGGCTTGGCTGCATGCGTTCCTGGACCAATCGACCGTTCGGATGGACGTGCTCGCTCGGATTACTCCACTGGATTTGGATCATCTTCCAGACTGCATGCATAGCGTGGCGTTGGCATTTGTTTCAAAGTTTGTTTTTTTCTGCGTGATACCACAAGCTGCCTGGGGCTGCTTCTGTGATACCCTCTTTTCGGGTTGTGTTCTTTTGGGCGTGTAAGGAAATATCTGTAGTATATAGACGGGCTTGAAGCCTGGATTTGGGTCATATGGACTGCCACATTGTATAAGGTTTAGTTAGGGCAGATACCACGAGCATGGCGTCGAGAAGATGCTGCGTTCACCACTCTTTATGAAGAGAGCTTAGTTTAAATCAGCTGTATCAGCTTTGTATATTCTCACACTGGATCTCGAATAAGCCTTTCAGTGTTCTGTGACGTAGTGCGCACGTGTTTGAGCGATTCCACGTGGTGATGCTGGGGTACATGCAAGGGGTCACAGTAATTCTATAATGCGTCGCGCAACACAGAGCAGACTGCTACATGGCTATAGTGTACATGGCAGCCAAGTTTGCCCCGTTGTTGTCTTCGTTGGCCGTATCCGGTATTGGAGGCTGTACACAAGAGGCATGTTGCCGTCGCCTTGCCTAACGAAGAAGGCAGACCCTGGTGGGGCAAATCGGGCGGTCGGGCAAGCACGTCATCTATCATGGCAGCCCCTCTGCGGCGCAAGTGTACAGTAATCCGCGCTTTATCATCATAACGCCAGACCTAAGAACCCTTTAGAAACCCTACTCCATCGACCATCCCGAATACACACAAATCCTTGATATTGTAAGTCACGCCTTTCCTATCTCCGCTCACATTCCCCGGCATCTCTACGAGTCTTCGATTTGCGCAGGGACTCGAACGGCTTTGCCGAAAAATAAGCGCATCAGAATTGTTATCGGCAACGGCGGCCAGTTGAGTCCATCAGCCGAGTTCTTTGAAATCGCCCTTCCCCTGCTGTCTAACCACGCTTCTACATATACTATGTTTGCACCGTCGTCTTTCAGAGCTACCAGAACACTGCTCACATCTGCGCGCCTGCAAACAGCTATCAACCCCACATCTACCGCAAACCTCTACCGACCACTCTTCACCCAGAAGTTCTTTTACAACACCGCCAAAATGAGCGAAGACCACAAGGGCGTACACAACCTCAAGAAGTAAGTTGACTTGCTGTCGCATCGCACATGCGATGCACGACGTCATATCCGCTGAACATGTACTGACGTGACGGCATTGTAGCAAGGAGCAGTTCGAGGAGGTCATGGCAGTCAAGGACAGCCTCATGGTCGTCGACTGCTTCGCGACATGGTGCGGCCCTTGTAAAGTGATTGCTCCCCAGGTCGTCAAGTAAGTCCTGCCCGGCCGTGAAAACCACCCGCCGCTAACCCTTTGTTAGGTTCTCTGAGAAGTACCCCAACGCGCGCTTCTACAAGCTCGACGTCGACGAAGCCTCCGACGTTGCAGGTGACCTCGGTATCCGCGCCATGCCTACCTTCATCCTTTTCAAGAACGGAACCAAGGTCGCCGAGGTCGTTGGCGCCAACCCCAAGGCTCTCGAGACCGCTATCCAGAACAACATCGATGCATAGAGCGCACAATCGAAGCCGCCCCGCAAATACAGACGATCGCATCCAGCACCAGACTAGGCTTGGACATTGAATAGAGGGTTGCTGTTTTGTTGAGGGTCAAATCATGGGCAGCAGGTGGCCGAATGGAATTATGATAACGTTTTTCAAATACCAACCGCTACATTCTCACATGTCACAAACCCAACTTGGACTCGCTCAATGATTAACTCACGCGCCTGCTCAAGAAAACAAAAAAGTTGATACATTGTTAACCATTGTGACACTGGCGTGGTGGCGTTGGCAATAGCGCACTGGAAACCTCGTTTGCAGTCTGTTTGAAGAGGGAATGAATCCGACAGCATTCTGAGCAGTATGCGATGCGCATGCATTCGAAAAAGAAAACTGAAGATTCACAAGCTCTCAATCCATGCCCAAACCTCTTCCGCACCTCTTTCCCACTCAATATGATTCTGCAAATGATGCGCTACCCCTTTCACCACTTTGAATATAACACCGCCCCATTCTTCATCACCGTTTTCCATGACACGCATATCATACTTGCTGATACCATCCAATTTTCCAGATCTGACGCAATCGTACAACGCAGCACGGTAACGTTTCGCTGCATCAAGTAATACTGATGGTGTGCAGAGGACGTCTAACTCTGCCGTTAGAACCAAAAATCGTGGCATAACGGTAGTTCTGCTTCCATCTTCTTTAGTCGAAAGTTGCAACTTCCATCCGGTAATAGACTTGAGTACGTCTGGTCCAGTCACGAAAGGGAAGAGTGCTTGCATCGGCCAGCCCATAGATTCGTAGGGGCTGAGAAGGCGTTCCAAATCTTTGACGACGGAAGTCGGTGTTGAGGGTGAAAAGAAGGCATCGTGAACCTGCTTGGTTGTCGCTAAAACGTATCTTGGGTGCATGAAACGGTAAAGGAAGTTCAGCGGTGCAGAAAGAACCCAGAATTTATAGCATGTCCACCTGTTTTCCAGTCAATATCCACAAGCTACACCAGCACAGAGATGGACTTACGATCCGAATCCTGGTACCGCAGCAAACATACAGAAACCCTGGACCCTCAACAACCCTCTACTTAGCACCCACTGACTAAGCGCTCCCCCCGCCGAATGTGCGATCAACACGACACTAATCTTCTCCGCAACTTTTCTCCGCTCACCCTCGAGTCTCTCGACTTCCTTAACGCCTGCTACAAGGTCTTCTGCAATGCAACCTCGACTTGTGAAATACATCTTCCAGAAGCCAGGATACCAGCTGCCGCCATGTCCACGATAGCTCACAGCATAGCAAGGATATCCACGAGATGAGAAGAAGAGCATATATGAAATCCAGATAGCAGCGCAGCCGAAGCCGCCATGGGCGAAGAAAAGAGGTGGTTTGGTGGACGGGGATCGAGGGAGGGCTGAAAGGAGCTCGAGGGAACCGGACGGGGTTGCGATGTAGGTTCTTCTTATGCCATCTGGCACTCGTGTGGGAGGCGGTGGGTTGGGATTTGGCGCGCGCCATTGCAAGGCGAAGGGCCCGAATGGCATCTTGATCTTTCTACAAGCGAGAAAATGTGTCGGATGTTTCAATAAACGATGCTTATATTCACGAGAAACAGTGAGTCAATGGTGTTTGGCCTTCTTGCATGCGGTCACACAACTAGTATTAGTAATGCTTATGTCAATGCCATTTATGTGTGTAACAGCTATTCAGCCGCACACGCTGTAGCCTAGGCAAAGTGAACGGTGGCATTGTAAGATGTGACGCTAGATTGGGTTCGGGGATTCCAGTGGGGAGCACATCGCTACTTTCAGGATCGGGTATGATCGCATGATGCTTGCTTGTATTTGCGCATATGGAACTGAAAGTTGAGGTTTCCGAGTTTGGGTCAAAGAAGAAGGCGGATTTATGATGCCTAGTGGGGTCGTATCAGTTCGTAGTAACACCACTGGATACTCCATCATCTTTGCAACTTGTAGTCATCTAAATACATTGTCGACTGGTCTTCTTGGTCTTTCCATTGTTCCTCAGCCTGGTTCGACTTGAAATACAGAAGGGGTTATGGTGTGCGAAGACACTGGTCGTATGTACATGGTATGGCGCTTTTGCACTAGCATCTTCTTCGACGCATCTCGCGCTGCTGTTCAACTTTAAATTCTCCGCAGTCTCAATAATTGCCAAATCATATCAGTCGTTCGAATGCAGTTTCCTTGTTAGCCAGCGTTCTTCATTGGTCTTTCTGCTGGCGCTCAAACTCTCGGCCCCGACGAAAGGGGTTGTGACCTTTCATCCAGCGCCAGACGCGATTCCGCTTCGAATCACTACGTTGCATACCTGAGACCATCTGCAAGCCGCCGAGAGCTGGCTGGTACATGTCAACACTGATGGTTGGCACACGTTCAGGTGTGCCGTAGTGTTCAGGCATAGTTGGCTCGTATGCAAGAACAGGCACGTGCGAATTGGAGATGATGTCAGGTTGTGAATGTTTGTAATTTGGCTTAATTGCAGATTTAGGGTAGGTCAGAGCATTAGCAGCTGCGGAGTGTCGTTCCGGAACAGTCAGATATGATTCTTGAAACTGGGTATCGACTTGCTGCGGTTCGTGTTCGTTGTGAAAGTTTTCAGGGAAACAGGAATCCGGCTCGATGACAGGAAGGTCTTGATCAGAATCATACTCGGGTGGTGGCGCGGGTAGTGGGTGGTCTGATCGGAGATAGTCTTCTGTTGTCGGCCGACGTATGTTGCTCCCATTGTTATGCATAGCACCTGCTGACCGTCCTTCAATGCATTGACCGTGTATCGGATATGGCGGTGATTGAAGGAGGTCCTGATCTCTTCTGCTCTCAGCAAGTATTGACTTAACATACTTGTTGTGGTCGGGCATGTCGATGGGATGCTGTCGTTCCGTAGACCCCATGTCGCACATGAAAGTATCGTATGTGTATGACAATGGTTGTGGCTGACTGATGATGTTCTCCATAGCAGTTTCAGACTGACTTTGTGGGCCAGTTTCATCTTCAGAACTATCATCTCTGGGATATCGGTTTGTTCGCACAGTCGGCCTTGTGATAGCAGAGAAGGGTGGCGGTGGTAACGGCCTTAATGTTGTATATACAGCCGAAGAATTATTAGAGCCCTTCATCGGCGAGGTCGTACTAGGACGTGACAAAGGAGATGAAGCTCTCGCTGCTGATGTCGTGTGGAATGCATTCATGACCTGTGTGTCTTACTCAGATAACCTGTCACTATCTTGCAGTGATGGAAGCTACAGATTCGACTCACAAATCTGCTGAGTCAAGGCTAGACGATTGCTTGTCTGGTTGAATAACAACTTGGTAGTGGAGACTAGATGTACCGTAGGGTGACGTAGCACAGTAAAGGCGTCGTGAAAGCCTAACATGCTCATGGTGGAGACAAAGCAAGCCGTTACTGTGAATAAAGTAACGCGACCTGCAGCCGCCCGATCTAGCAGATTCACTGTACTGCAATGCTGTCAATACTTGAACAACGCTTCGCTAGGTAAGACCATCAATATGGAGAATCTGTCACATCCTGACATTATGCGCTTGTTCCGAGTCTAAGCGCCAACGGCTGAGCTTCCAGAGACCGACAGACGCTGAATGTTCCATTTTAGTATTCACAAGTTGCTTGTACCCTGATGCATGTCTTCTGAACCTACGAAAAATGGACGTCGTCAACTCCATCTTCCGCCATCCTACCCAAGTCTACACCTAGCCGCCATACACTCTCCACTCATTCAAAATACTGAAAATGTCCGTTATACTATACCGGCACCTACTACCAACAGTCGATGGGACAACGCTCAAGAGTACAGGTGGAGAGTACAGCGAGCGCCTCAAGTCGATCCCCGCTTTGATAGTTCTATCATAGACGCAGAGCAACATGCCGAGTTCTGGGTGCGGAAGCTTGTCCTGGCCATGGTCAATCTCGAGGACATCAAAGATCCCACAGACTCGAGCGCAGCCAAGTTATTTCGTCCGGAAGCGTACGACTCCCTACTCCTCGAAGCAACATGTCGTGAGATCTTCCCAGCGTTGATCGACCGGTGCAAGAATGGCTTCCGAGGACCAGCGCAATTCAACAAAGCGCTAAAACCTTACCGAGGCCTCGAAGGTGATGCCGATGCGACATGCGCACAACGTTTGCAGAACGTAGTGAACGCACTGCTATGGAACAAAAGAGTCGTGAAAGACGTGTTATTCGAAGACTGGAAGATCCGATTACTTGTGAACCACCCTTTGGCTTATGATAGAGAAAAGGACTCGCAGAAGGGCTCGAACGATCAGCGAAGAAGACGACTAGAATCTGAAAGAGAGAAGCTGCGGAGAACTGAAGAGGAGCTGCTCGCTTATCGCTCGGATTTGAAAGGACTGTAGTGGCGACAGCAGAGTGGTGGAGGGGCGGATGCATGTGTGGTAGGACGCCCGGGTATCTCGGTATGTCTGAACTACGGTTATCAGTAACGACGCAAACAGCTCGATGTAGTCAACACCCGAAGCAATTGTTATCTACCAAAAAAGCATTTCTAGGCGTACACCATGTTTCGTAGGTTTACCAACCGTCAGCAACGTAGGCCTAGGTCTTCACCGTGTCTGTGAGGTGGAAGGCGAAGGTGGTTGCAACAGCTCGAGAGCAGTCTTGATGGCCATTTCATACTGGGCAATTTGCGCGAGCACCGTGTAGATGAAGTTGCAAATGCTTTTGGGTCGCTGTACGGGTGGGCGGGTGAGAGGAGTTTACACCAGTCAAAAGCTGCTTAGCTGAGCGGGGTGTGCTTGGCGCTCACAGGCTGAGGGTGCGGCTTGCTTCGTCCTTCATTCTCGACCCTCAAAGCTGTTATGGAACCTTCTTTCCCTTCTGCACCTGGTTTCGTACCTATTCATCCCACAGCGTTTGTTCATGCCAGATGTATGAGTATGACAATCTTGCCTACTTCACCAGCATCGAGTGTTCACTGAGAGTCTACTGCGACGATACCCGATGATCTCTTACACATTCAGGGGTGAAGCCATGGTAAAGATACTCTTTCGCGTTTTCTTGGGCAATGCGCACGCGACTTGTATCTTCTGCGTAAGGATTGCCACATTGCTTGATGAGGAAGGTCGCGGTATAGAGTAGGGATGTCAAGATATTGTCAGATCTTGGGTCTTTTACAGCCTTGGATTGCTATCAGGTGGCCAACAGCCCCTCTACATCTCTTTGACACGTTTCATTGGATATTACGTGCTTGGCCTGGCGAAGTGGTGCTTGCCAAGGTCAGATTGCAAACGTTCAAGAATGGCGCAGGCTTAGTATCGCTCGGCGCCAACCGCATATCCGGATACCCAAGAAATCCAAGAAAGCAGGATGAAATTCGAGCGAGTACCGAACGTCGTCCAGAGAAGATTATCTCTGGGCGATCAGGGTAGTGGAAGGGTTGTTTGGTGCCGAGAACGTCGTGAATGGGAATACAGTTCCACGACTTTGCTGAATGAGGCAGCTCGAAAATGAAAGGAATAAGGCGTAGAGCCTTATATAACGAGTATGTAACAGTGATCCGGACAGTACTATCGCATTCTCACTTGTCGCCATGTCTACAGGCGCCAACCTGGAGATAGTTGATGCCGCTCTGGCAAATGTGCACGCCCCTCACAACAACACAAGGGGCAGTATGAGTCTGGAAAAGCATGATAAGTTTGTGTCGACTTCTGAGAGCCTTCTTGGCCCTAATGGCGAGCAATACCCTACCGATGAAGACTGGCAACAGCTCCGCCGCGTATATGGCAAAGTCAACTGGATGAGTACGTGCATTTTCCTCACGAGGCTTTGTGTAGCATGTGCTAACGTCTGATACTACTATTAGTCTACGTTATTGGTATTGTGGAGATGTGTGAGCGTTTTGCCTACTACGGAACCACCGCGGTATTTGTCAACTTCATTCAGAGAGACCTGCCTACTTCAGGACCTTTCCCGGAAGCAGGCGCTGCAGGTGATGGGCAGCCTGGCGCACTTGGAATGGGCCAGCGCGCTAGTACTGGCCTCGTCCAATTCAACTCCTTCTTCTCCTACATCATGCCCCTAGTCGGTTAGTATGCTCTGTGTTCAAGAGCGATCATCGTACTAAATCCTTTCTCTAGGCGGATGGGTTGCAGATGAATACTGGGGAAAATTCAAAACGATCTATTTTGCGATTGGAGTCGCAACCCTCGGACATGTCTTGATCATCATCGCCGCGATCCCTCAGGTTATGGGGCCAAACCCCGAAGGAGCTCTTGCCTCATTCATCCTAGGGTTGATCTTGTTTGGAACCGGCGTGTAAGTCTCGCTAGAATGAGCACTTATGAGACACATACTGAATTCTTCAAATATAGGGGCTTCTTCAAGTGCTGCATATCTCCATTGATTGCGGAGCAGTATGAGGCCAGCCACCCGCGAGCTTTCATTCGCACCGAACCAAACGGAGAACGAGTTATCGTCGATCCAGGGATCACCTACTCCCGAGTTTACATGCGCTACTACCTTCTGATCAACGTTGGAGCACTTGTTGGTCAAGTTTCCATGGGTAAGCAGTTTGTCAATGAATCGTACGTTGTCTAGGAGCTAACCTTCAATGCAGTGTACGCAGAGAAATACGTCGGGTTTTGGCTTTCTTTCACATTGCCAACCATTCTCTTCGCCCTCTGCCCACTTCTGATGCTTGCTTTCAGTAAGCATTACGTCAAGAAGCCTCCGCAGGGTGACGTGCTTGTCAAATCGATGAGAACGTATGGCTTGGTTCTGAAAGGGCGCTTCTCGCTCAATCCTGTACAAACGTGGAGGAACCTTTCTGATCCAAACATCTGGGATGCTGCGAAGCCAAGCAAGATCGCAAACAAACCAGCATGGATGACTTTCGATGACGCGTGGGTGGAGGAAGTTCGACGTGGCATCAAAGCCTGTCAAGTATTCTTCTGGTTGCCGATATTCTGGCTACCTTATGGCCAGATGTGAGTCTCGATACTGTCTAAGATATGAGCCAAACCGGCGCTGACACTGTTCAAGGACTAGCAACCTAGTTTCACAAGCGTCTACTATGAAACTTAACGGTGTACCAAACGATGTAGTGCACAATCTGGTAAGAACTCCGACGTATGAGCTTCGTATCAGCAGACACATACTGACTTCATATACTAAAGAATCCATTCACGCTGCTCATTTCCATTCCGATCTTCGACAAGATCATATATCCAAGGCTTGCCCATTGGGGTATCAATTTCACTCCCTTGAAGAAGATCCAAGCCGGTTTCGCCTGTGCCATGCTCTCCATGGTTGTTGCAGCAGTCATTCAGCACTTTATCTACCAAAAGTCGCCATGTGGAGAATTTCCAACAGATTGCGACCAGCCACCTGACCTTTCGGTGTGGACTCAGGTTCCAGCCTACATCCTCATTGCATTCTCGGAGATCTTCGCATCGATCACTGGATTAGAGGTAAGATCTAGAGTGTATGATGTGCATTCGAGGCATGTGCTAACTTTGAATCTTCAACCTTGCAGTACGCGTACACAAAAGCACCGAAGAATATGCGCTCGTTGGTTACAGGCATGTTTTGGTTTACCCATGCCTTCTCTTCTGCCATTGCGCAAGCCTTCGTACCATTGGCTGGTGATCCACTCCTTGTATGGCTGTACATGAGTATCGCCATCTTGACATTTCTCGGTTGGGTGGGTTTCGCCTGGACCTTCAGAACATTGGACAAAGAGAACGATATGCTTGACAAGCTTCCTGAAGGTGGCTTCCAGTCTAACGCTGAGTACGCCGCGGCGAAGACTGAGAATGCCGAAAGAGCCTGATCTTGCGATCTGGACTTCGAATTCGATTTCGTTGTCGGATCCATACGAAATCTTTGTCGAGCTACTACACGAGTCTGAGACTGGTGAAGATGAGCTCCACGAGCTGGGTATAGCGCGACGTAGCCTGAGTAGGGCATCAAACTTAACAACGAGACGCAATGTATTGTTTAGATAATCCCGATTGGTCGTGTTGTACGAACACGCAGATAGCCGGCCGTTGCACGTTATGTTCTCGAACCAGCCCCTTCTGTTCGCACCATACCAAAATCTGCACGCTTTCGCGCTTATTCACCTCTTCGCAACTATCATAACGAACTCTCTTCCAGGCAGCGAGATATGACACATGTCATTTAGCCGTAAAGTTCATGCTCAATGAAGAGTTTGGAAAGTACATCTCGATAGTGAAAGTCTTCTAACATGAGTTGCACATCGTATCCACTACGGCTGTGCGTCGAACCTTTACTGATATGCTCCCTAAACTCCCTTACTACGTCATCGGATATTGCGCGCTCATGGCTTACGCCCTTGACGATAGGGATAAAGCAGACCACCAGAGGTCCAAGACTCAACAGGCATGCGATGCGACCCGGGAGAGAAATACAAACGTTTTAGCGGCACTCAAGCAGATACTTGTTTAGCTTGATGAGCCGGGAAAGCATGAATGGAAGATATTGTAGGCCTTGCAAAGGTTGAAAGAGATATGTCGAAAGACGATGACGTAACCATAGGCAAGGAGCATAGCATGTGTATATCACAAAAAGGGCTCTGGATGATGACGGTGAACTCGGTTCTGAGGATGTAAAGGCGATGGTCGGAGCTGACAAAAAGGAAGTCATCGATAAAACCACGCTGCCTTACCGACCCGCTCCGCGGCCACCGATACCCTCACAGTCGCGGCCGCACTCGGGGTTTTTGCACTTTATGCCCGCTACCACGGACGAGACTTCGTTATCCGATGGGTATCGAAAAGGCCGAAGGCGAAATTAAAATGGACCATGAGTTTGAAGACTGTCTTGGAATGTTGCGTTCCTCTTTGTCGCACACAGATTAGAGTGTGGAGCGGGAGTCGCCTTCCTGGTAGTGTTCTTTCTAGAGCGCCAGAGCTTAGAAAGCAGCATGTGCACAGAGACAGGATTCTTGATATGCATAGTTTTACCTTCCTTGAGTTAACTACTTGATAAGGTATCCGCCGCCTATCTTTCTAGACCGCTACGTCAAGATTTATTTCCGAACATATACGTCAATTGCGGCGCTCTCTTGGGGAAAGCGCGGTCTCGGGGAGCAAAGGCGCCAGCCATCGGTAGATCGAAAACTCTCTAGCTTTGACCCACCATCGCATCTCCCGTCACAAGCATTCAAAAAGTTCCAGTTTTCAAAGCATAGCGTTCGGTTATGTATCGGAGACTCTTAATACCCGATGATGGCTCGGAGACGTCACGGAGAAGAAGCTCATCACAATCTCTCACATTTCTGAAAGTCTGCGACATTATTTCCTAACCTTATCTCTGCATTTCTTGCCATTTCCCATTCCTCAATGGCATTCTTTTTACAGTACAGAGCTATACAGCGACATGTGAAGGAAGAGCTACAACGTGTAACTGAAGTTCCAGATCCATTGTCAGCACGCTTTTCCGACGGAACACACGAATTGGGAGATTTGGAGTCACCTGGTAAGCTGAACAAAGGTGAACCGTACACACGGATCCCAGGTATCACGTTGAGGGAAGATGGTAACAGCCAGCTCTATTACCAGGTTGACTGGAGCGGATCCGATGACCCATTCAACCCCAAGCACTTCTCGACCCTACACCGTATCTTTGCGACACTACTCGTATGCCTCGTCGCTTTCGTTGCGACCCTTGCATCTTCTATCGACTCTGCTGTGCTCACTAGAGCGACTGCCGATTTTGGAGTGTCAGAAGTAGCGGAATCATTGGCCACTGCGCTTTTCTTGGTAGGGTTTGGCTTTGGTGCCTTGCTCTTATCTCCCCTCTCTGAGCTTCTCGGAAGATATCCTGTCTATCTTGGCTCCCTTTTCGTTTTTGCCTGCTGGACGCTTGGGTCTGCGCTAGCACCGAATTTTGGCGCTCAGATTGTCTTTCGATTCCTAGCTGGATTCTCAGCGAGTACTCCCTTGACGGTTGCAGGTGGCTCCGTGGGTGATCTGTGGAGTCCGGTGGAGAAGACATTCGCCTTCCCACTGTTTGCGATACCCGCATTTGGTGGACCAGTTCTTGGTAAGTTTGTTATGCTCGTATTGTTCCTATCAAGACGATCTGCTCCTTGTTGGTTTTACTAACCAAAAGCAAAACAGGCCCTGTGATAGGTGCATACATTGGCTACAAGCAAGACATCAACTGGAGGTGGACGGAATGGATAACGCTTATTCTGATCGGAGTTACCTTTACACTTATCTTGCTTTGCAAAAGAGAGTCATTCGCACCTCGCCTACTGCACTACAAAGCACAGCACTTCCGAAAACTTACAGGCAATCAACAGTTCAAGACCGCGACTGAAGTATCGCATGGCTCCGTCGGTGAGCTCTTGTCTAGGTCTTTCACTCGGCCTTTTCTTCTCTGCACACAACCGATTGTGGTGGCCTTTACACTTTATTTGATGATTGTTTACATCATTTTGTTTACGTTTCTAGACGGGTATGTGCCTCTTGAATGTTTCATGTTGCAACGTAGGGCGTGAATCGCTGACTCTTTTGCAGTTACCCTTACATCTTTGCAGAAACTTATGGTATAAACGAGGGACTATCCAATATCTGCTTCGTTGGATTGTTCATTGGAATCGCCCTTTCGGCGCTCCTTGTTCCAATAGCCTACCACAAGACTGTACGACAACTTAAGGAAGATGGAGACGATGGATCTGGCAAGGCCATACATCGCGAATCGAGATTGTTCTTTGCCATGATTGGAGCACCTTCACTACCTATCGGACTGTTCTGGATGGGTTGGACTGACTATGTAAGTATACCATGCGTGTCCCCCGGTCGTGCTATATTTTCAAGTCTAACAAATGATAGGCTTCCATCTCAATATGGTCACCCTTGACAGCATCATTGCTTGTCGGCTTTAGCAACATTTGTATCTTTATGTCAGCATACATGTACATCATTGACAGTTACGAAGCATATGCAGCATCAGCCTTGACGTTTGTCGCCTTGGTCAGATATGTTGCAGCTGGTGGCATGACAGTTGTCGGTATTCCCATGTACAGAAACCTGGGGACTCACTGGACCTTGACTCTGCTTGGTATCATTAGTGTTCTTGCGCTGCCCATTCCGTATGTGCTATACCGCTTCGGACCGAGTCTCCGGAAGAGTAGCAAGTGGGCAGTATAAGTAGATTGAGGAGGGATGACAGCATTGTTGTTGCGCCCTATCAGATTGTATAGAAGCAATGTTTTTTCAATTCGATACTGGTGAGCAGAAACAATGGAAGAATAGAACGCCTTTGGTTCATCGTCTAGCTGTACTGCTTCCGACAATCCACTACTACTATAAGGCGTGCTTGTTAATCCTGCTGCTGGTGTTTCGGCGAGAGTTGTCAACTCAACCGCTCCTGAACGTGCCTCCAGATTCCTATACACTAGTCTTTACGACTACTCTACGCGACTACCCTAACCGCAAACAGCACTGGAACGCCTCTTGAGACGCGATGTTGTCTCCAAGTTTGGAAGAGACGCGTCGTGGCCTTACGATGTAATTGAGGTTGTTTGCGTCGAAGAAAAGCAGAAAGGCATTACTGGATACTCAGTTTTGGAAGAAGATATTGCTGGCGATGAGAAGAAAGCTAGCGTCGGAAATTGCTCGTTAAGGAATCCAACCCGCTTGAGTTGGAATCACGATGCCCTATGTGATGTTGGTAAAGGGGAGGGTGCGCTTCTACCGTCGCATGGGACAAGTCAAACGCATACAAGCACAAACCCCGTCGTCGAAAACCCGTACTATGTGACTCACCACTCAACATGTGAAAGAAATAGGTCCCTTTAGAGAGTTTGTCGCTTCCCGGACCCGATTCCCATGATGCTCGGAGCCCAACGCGCGTCTAATATCGCAATATCCGTGCGAAGTTCATTTCAAATAACGTTTTCTTCAACTCACGTCCTCTTGACAATTTACCGAGTCAACTCCCCTCCGCCGATCACTGCAGAAAGCAGTAGCATTTCCGTGTTCCCATCTCCCAACTCCGGTGCAAGCGAGAGACCCTCCAAAAACCCGCGGGGACAGGGGTACACAAGTCAACATCCCTACTTGCGAAAACGTGCCGCAATCATACATGTTGAAGGGTTGTCAAAAGGGTCAGCGTACCTGCCGTATACAGACATTGCAGCGTGGTGTGCGCCTCGGAGATTTTCTTTTGCCGTGGTTGGGTATCGTGGGGGTCCACATGTAATTTGTAGGAAAATGGGGGCGCCGGCCAATGAGGGAAGGGTAGGAGCGTGCACGTGTGGCGTGAGGGAGGATAGCAGCTATAGGGAGTGCCGTTGCTAATGGTTAGGAATTCGATAACGGAAGCTTTGCATGGTCACTGCGCGCGTAGGATTGGGCCCATGATCCACACGTTTTCGATGCTGCTTTACGTGAACGTCGCAGTTGCGTGGGGACCAGCCTTGCGGAAACTTCGGCTATAAGAGGGTTAGGCGGCACGCAACAACGGCAGGGGCCGTTAGGAGGAATGACGCATGTGTGATGGGATGACAGTAGGTTGCTGGTAGAATCGAGCCTGTGTGGTATTTTGTATAGATGTGCCATGTGTTGATATTGTCATTGTAGTGGGCGCACAATGCATCATAGTCGGCCGTTTCTCATCGTGTCGTTATCTGCTCCCACCCTAGACATCCTTGAGCAGTTTCTCGATCTCTTCCAGGTCCTCAGCACTGTCGATCTCGATGATCCTGTTGACCTCGCTGGTGTTGCGCATCAGCTCCTTTGCACCGGCGTACAGCATCTTCACCTCGCTATTGCATGTTATGGGCAGGTAGTATAGCATAACGTATGGCACCGATAATCGTCCCGAGTCCTGTCAAATCTCAGCCTCTCTCTCACGAGGTATGGTCGGCAAAGCGTACGAGGGTCAACGGGTAGCTCAAGAGCACAAATCGCGGGGCATGGTCGGGCAGCTCGTCGGCGAGGCTCTGGACGTCGGAGTAGACATCGTCGTCTGCCTGGCGTACTTCGAGCGTCTTCTTATCGATCTCGTCTGGCGCGCATGGGCGTCAGCGCCAGGAACGACTGCGGCAAAGGCAGCAGGTATACGAACAGATGACAGCCTGGGGGTCTTTGGCGCGCGAGGTGCCTAGACGGAACTTGCGTAGCTTGGTTTTGGTCTCATCGGAGAAGGTGTACAGTCGTGCCTCGGAACTCTGGGCCGAGGTATTAGCGAACCGGTGGATATGACGCGCGTAAGACGAAGGCGGCACTTGCCATGATGGCGAACAATGATGGGAAGACTTGGGTTCGCAACGGGTGTTTGACGAAGCTCGGGGAGGTGGTGTAGGGCTGAGGAAGTCTGACGGACGGCACGCGTTAGTGGGGTCTGTTGGCGGGGGTTCCTGAGCTGGACGAATGGCGCTAGCTAATGCACTACCGTCATGTCCATACACCCTCAGCTTTGTAGAAGCCTTTTCTTCTCATGCACCTAGCTACTCATACCCTCTTTCCCCTGAGTTACTTCTCCTGATCCATGTTCGGACGACTGAATCAGGTTGCCAGACACTTGTCTCGTCCAATACCCAACTTTGCGCATCGTTCCGCCGTTTCGTTCCGCCCATCGATAACGTCATCAGTCATGGCTTCGACACAGCAAAAGAGCCTGATCCACACGGCAGGTTGTTTGATTATCGGTGACGAAGTCCTTGGAGGCAAGGTATTCAGTGTCCATGTAGATCAATTGTTAGCCTGACAGCTGACGTGAACCATAGACAGTCGATACGAACTCGGTAGACTATACCACTTTAAAGTCGTGGTACATGGACTAATGTTTCACAGGCGTACTTTGCCAAATTCTGCTTCTCATTGGGCATCAACTTGCGCCGCATCGAAGTCATTGCAGATGATGAAGGCGAGATTGTAGAAGCCGTGCAACGCATGTCCAAGAACTACGACATGGTGGTGACGAGTGGCGGAATTGGTCCTACGTGCGTGCAGCATACTCGCTACACCACCCAGCCGCCGAGCTAACGGCTGTCTAGTCACGACGACATCACTTACCAGTCAATAGCCAAGGCCTTTGGCCTGCCGTTGAAGTTACACGATGCGGCGTTTGAACGTATGAAGCGCCTCTCGAAGCCGCACAAATCTCAGCCAAACTTTGACTGGAACGTCGAGTCTCCAGCGCTTACAGCAAAGAAGCGCATGGTTGAACTGCCTATTGATGAATCCAAGCCAGATGAAGATCAGGTTATTTTCGTCAGTGAGTCGCTTTGGGTTCCCGTTAGCGTCGTGAACGGTAACGTGCACATTCTGCCCGGAGTGCCTCGCCTCTTTGAAGCGATGCTAGACGGACTAAAGCCCCGCATCCTACCTAGATTGACGGATCCAGAGGGTAAAGGCGTGTTGCGGATCCTCATCTCGACTCCGATGGCCGAGAGCGCCGTTGCTGGATATCTGACCGAGCTCGCTGCCAAGGCGGAGCCAAAAGGGGTCAAGGTGGGAAGCTACCCACGATGGGGAAAGGACCACAACACTGTGACGCTAGTTGGACGCGATCGCGACTTCATGGAGAGCTTAGTTCCTGAAGTAGAGAAGGCTGTTCAGGGGAGGCGGGTAGCTGTAGAAGGTGAGGACGACGGAGAAACGTCTGACAAGGACTCGTAGGGGGTGGTAGAGGGTGGGCTGACATTGCAGACGTGCCGCAGTCGGTCAATGTAAATATACATATATAAACATATCGAGTGTCGAGATGCAGGGACTGTGTGCCAGAATGGAATGCCTGTGAAGATGATGTTGGGACAGACGGGTGTCAGCGAACCATGCGGCAAGCTTCTACAAATGTTCGAGAAGCAGCCTAAGCGCGTGCCACGAGGGCTGGGCGCTCACGCTGGACCCTGATACGACGGATAGATCGAGGGCAGATTCTGTGCGGTACAGGAGATTTGCTTTTGAAGCTGTCAATGGAATTAGGTGTCATGATTACCTTGACAAGGTCGTTCTCGGGGCAAGGTTCGCGTGCATGACGATGGATAAGCCGCCGACCCCGCCCGTGTGACGGTCGGCAAGCAAGCAGCAGCAGCATGCTCTGTGTGTGCGCGAGAGATGAAGCACCCGCATGGTCGGATAGTCACATGCACAGGAGAGGATTCAATTGGAGTGACTACAAGAGCGCAAGCGCGGGCGCGACGGGCTCTGCGAGTCGATCGGTCGAGGAACAATGTTTTTCTACGCCCGCGTCAAGCTTGGAATCAGTCGTCGCATGCCTCGTGCGCCGTAGTGGTTCGTGGGAGGGCATCAGGTACTCCGTGCCTCATGGCGTCGGGCGCTGGGATCGCATGCTTGTATGTCGAGCGCCGCCGCTTTTAAGAGGGGAGGGGAGGGGGCTTTGTTTTTGGCCCGGGGGTGAAGAGATGCGGAAGGCGTCAGATGGAATGCATGCACTTGGACGGGCGACAAATAGGGAGAGGCGCACGACGCAGGCAAACGCCCAAGCCTATTCACCTTGCAGACGACGCCATGGTGGTGGAGACGGGTGGCTCGCTCTGCTCCTCTTTTGGTTGGAAGGCAGGCCTATGCACGGCTACATTAGCGCTAAAGCCGCGCCCAAGCCCTTGTCCTAGCCCTTCCTCCTTCAAGGCCCCAGACGAAGCTAGAAGGTCGTTTTTGCTACCGAGATCATCCTGCTCAGTGCTCTCCCGTCCTCTTCTACTATCGCGACGAGCTCTCCTGGCCCATTTCCCTCGCTGCTGCTGCTAATCCCGACCCGACCGTCACCGCCGGCCTTTGCATCAAACGCCCTGACAGCGCGCGTCGCATCGCCACAACACGACGGCCTCGCTCCCTTGATCGCCTCCCTCGCTCCCTCCCTGCCTACTTGCGTGTCTGTCTGTCTGTCTACCTACCTACCTACCTACCTACCTATACCTAATACACCACGCCCATCTCCTCACATTCACAATGGCATCAAAGGTAGGCGCCCGTCCATCGCCCGCGCCGCCTGCGCCCCTGCTAACCCGCGCCAGTTTCTCCGAGAATACAAGTTGGTGGTAGTCGGCGGCGGTGGAGTCGGAAAGTCGTGTTTGACTATCCAGCTGATCCAGAGCCACTTCGTAGACGAGTACGACCCGACCATCGAGGGTAAGCACTTCCGACCTGTCGTGTTTCGCGCGCCAGCAAGCTAACCCACGCCTCCAGATTCGTACCGCAAGCAGTGTGTCATCGACGACGAGGTCGCCCTGCTCGATGTGCTCGATACAGCGGGACAGGAGGAGTACTCGGCCATGCGCGAGCAGTACATGCGCACAGGAGAGGGCTTCCTGCTTGTCTACTCGATAACCGACAGGCAGAGCTTCGAGGAGATTATGACGTTCCAGCAACAAATCCTGAGAGTAAAGGACAAGGACTACTTCCCCATGATCGTCGTCGGCAACAAGTGCGATCTCGACGGCGAGAGGCAAGTGTCGACACAAGGTGCGTTTGCCTGCTGCTTCCATCCCTTGCCCTTTCCACATGCTAACCCTTGCACAGAGGGCCAGACTCTGGCGCGGAACTTTGGCTGCAAATTCATCGAGACTTCGGCAAAATCCCGCATCAACGTTGACAATGCCTTCTACGACATCGTCCGAGAAATTCGCAGATATAACAAGGAAATGTCCTCGTACACAGGCGCCCCTGGCTCAAACGGCAACGGGCCCCAGAAGACGACATTCGACACGGACGACCAGGCGGAGAAGAAGGGATGCTGTGGATGCGTGGTAATGTAAGGACATGGAAGCCACTGTCGTTGTTGTCGCGCACTCTGTCAGAGAGATACCTACACCGCTGGGTTCGGTTACCCGCCCTGGCCATTGGCGGTGCTGCTTGGTCCAGCAGAAGAAAACACGCGATGCTGCTGTTGCGTACTGCCAGTACACCTTCTCTTCGATACTGTCACTTTGGGTTCGCATTACGGGGTAACGGATTCACGTCTGCTGGATGCGCCTCCGAACACCCTACTTCTACTACTGGTATCGATTCCATCTTTCCTATCTGGTGGCGCTCTTCGTATTCGCCTTCATCATCTATCTAGACCGATTTCTTTATGGCATTTTGATCGGTACCCTGTATTTCCGCCTGTCGGCACGCCAAAGAGGCACCATGCAGCACGCTTCTGGGAGTCAAAAGATTTCTTTATTTTTGACAGCTTTTAGGGTCGTTTAACTTTACCTACCTTCTATGAACATAATTCATCTCTACTCGCAGCGCACCTTCATCTTCCATCACAACCGTCTCTCCTTCGCTACAGCACTACGGCAAAAGTCCAGCTGGCAGCTGCACTTTAGATTGCCAACTCACAATGCATGCCAACTTCCCTTCGCGTTGCACCCACAACCACCGGCGACCAGCGGCGTCGCAATGGCAGTGATCGCCCACTTGGAGCCATAATCGTGTGGTGTTTCGACTCGCGAACCTTGCCCGGGCGCCGTCATTGGATGTAGATTATCACAGATAGGGCGCTACCTCTGCACGGCCGTTTCAGGGAGCACATCCCGACAGAAAGAGGGGAAGTCGATCAGGAGAAAGGTAAGTGGACATCGGCACATACACGCGGGCGTCTCACAGCGACGTGACATCGACTCTATTAGGCCCGACTTCCAGCGAGCTATTCTCCGGACGAACACCACAGGTGCCGTCGATCGGGATCCCTTGTGTGAAACGCTGGGTTGGGGCAGCTTGCCAGAATCCGATGCGCCGTTCCTGCCGTATCCGCAACACGTGCGCAATGCGTCAAACGGCGCACATCAACATCTCGCCAATTCTCACCTCTTCGGCCTGACGATCCGTTCGCCTCATTTCACCTCTTCGCGGCCATTTTACGAAATACTCACCGTCCCGTCCAACTGCAATCAAGTGGCGGCCCGACAGTTTGGATATTCACGAATTACTCACACCCCCTGCCGTTTAGCCTATTCAGTGCGACCCTGAACGGGCAGTACGCCCTGCCCGCGTCGGTTCGGATGGCAGCCTCGTTTGAACAGTTCACCGTACACCGGTTCGGCTGCATCTTCACTCACTGCTCTACGCTACCAAGCATCCGACGCGTTTGCATGCGCGTTGTTGCGGGTGGAAAGCCACTTATGCGGTCGCTTCATTATCCCTGCAGTATTGCTAATCTCTGCAACAAACATGCAGGCCACAATTGCCACTCTGGTTTTGAGCAAATCGTTCGCTGACCGTAAGCGAAAGATGGCCACTACACCAGGCTACGGAGATGGTTTTCTGGACCCGTACGCCTCGTTCCCCATCCGTGCGCAGACACAGCGGATCACCATCAAAATTCCTACAATAGCTCGCCTATGCATAGGTTCTCCAGTGACTTCCTCCTTTCACGGGCATCGATACTCTCAATTCGCATGGGGCTGGGCCAAGCGTGCAGATTTAATACTGGGCTTCTTCGTATTGGGGCGGTTACGAGCCCTTTTACACGTCATTCACCATCCTTGGTGAGTACAACAGTGAAGTCGACAAGTAAGAATTGGTTGCGAGAGAGCGCATGCAATCACTTCCTACGACAAGGGCGAGAGGACAGCAGTCTCTTCTAATCTTAGAACTCGGCTTAGTCATGTTCGTGTCTCTTGGGCCGTCGAGAATGCAAAGGATGTTCTTCTTCAAGTGTGCCTTCAGTACGCCTGTTCCATAGCCCAAGACAAGTACTCCTCGACTTTTACCTGGCCTCACTGCAGCTAGGTTCTAGACTGAACCTCTCAGTTCACGCAAGACTATCATTCTCGGCCCGTGCCTGTACAGATGTAGCCGAAGGCACATTCCGCGGGCCACGTTCAGGCACAGTTTCGTAAGTCTGACGTTATACGCCCTTCGCCCGGCCTCAAAACGTGGACCCAATCCAGCCTTCTTCTACCAGTTCTTTACAGAGCTACAGTTGTGTTTCATGAACATGCCTCGGGTTTCACTAATAATACAACGGCATGGTGGGCAGTTGTAGACAGGTGGGAGCACGGTTACATTCATCACACAGATCGGCACTCCGCGGAGGGATCTGGACCCTGGCGTTAGCTGTGTGACAGGGGTAGTGCAGTAACGACATTGAACTCGTGTTACATTGACTTTTTACCGCGACAACCGAGCGAAAATTACTGGACAGGTGAATTGATTCAGTCTGTTCAGCAAGCACTTGCAATTGTCTGCGATGCGTCTATAAAGCAAACGATTTCAACAGCCCTCTTCAGTGTTGCGTGACTCGACTTCCAACGCTACTACTACAAGCACTTGTACTCATCGGCGACTCCAAATCGGTCGACCACCCCAGTTGGCCGACCCGATTGGGAGAACGGCCTACAAAGCCGTTCGCTCACGATCTTTCGATCCGAAATCATGTGTCGAGATCAAGATGCCTTGATCTATTGCTGCTTCAGGTAATTGTGGTAGGAGAGTGTGGATTGCAGGTAAAATCGCGGTGTTTGGCGCCAGCCAATAGGATGGGAGGCGTGAAGCGGTCGTGAGATGAAGACCCAAATTTACGATGCTGGCAGATGGTGGTGGAAGTACGTCGGCCGTTAGCTTTGCTGCTTGCATTGGTGGGTTGGGCTATGGTCGTGGTCTCGTGAGGGCTCGAGGGCACTCCTTTTCTGTCGCAGTCGGACCGCTCAGGTTTGCTCGATGCTTTC